AAGTGGATTTTGTTGAATTTAGGCCTATTTAATCGTTTTTGAAGATGTTGCCGGTGACGGGGACCCGATTGCGGCGCAGTTTCGGAAATGTCTCGACCAGGCCTACCGATGCACAGTGGGCGGAAAGACCACTTTTGACGGGAAAAAGTCGGGTTCCGCAACCCTTATGAAGATTCTAATAAATGCACTTTCCTAGCTCAAAAAAGTGTGCCGAATCCAAATCTGCCTTTGTTTTTATCATGCGTCTTTTCGTTTTTCTCATAGAAGGCTTGTAAGTCACAGGTATCTATTCGCTTAGAAATATCGCAACAAAAAGCGCATACATTCGCTGCGTTTACTGAGTCAGTTTTAGATCTAATTTTACAACCCGGATGTTTTTAAAAATTGCAATTCACGAGGATTCCAAAACTGTCCTCGGATTGTAATTTCGAGTATAATTGACAAAACTACGGCCGTTTGAAATTTGCATGTCACAAAACACAAAATTCCAAAGTTCCCTTGGGCGGCATAAAAAGCCTCAAGTTGCCCCGCGCTCGCTCTAGGTTCATTTGGGGCCGCAAAGAGTGCTCTCTCGGAGGGAAAAAGAATTAGCTGCCCATAGCTGCCCTTCCGAAGTTTATGGCTCGATTTGTGTGAGCTTGCGTACGAAAAAACGGGTCCCGACGCATGTCAATCGCATAGGTCGTCTCAGGGCATTCCCCTCCCGCCTCCGGCCCCCTCCCTTTCCCCCCCCTCCCGTTCACTCCCACTTCCCCCCTCCCCCTGCGCCCCCTCCCCTTGTACAATGATTTTTCAGTGTTGTCGACTTAGGACAGCAAATATGGGTATATTCGGAATCGGGGCGACACAACTGGACCAATGACGCGTTTGGAGTCGATCAGTGCTGTAGCTTGGCTTGTAACGTGTCGTTGCCTTGTATTAGAAGTAGAAGAAGAAACGCAATAAAAACTGTTGCCACAATAGGGGGCCTACGCTGTTGATTTAGTAAATTATACAGTAAATTAATACTATCCGTCCATAGAAAAATCGAAAAATGGCCAGATTTAGAATCAGGATGATGATAATGACCCTCTTAATCCTTGAATAAACCTTGAAAAATTAAAGTCACCCACCTTGATTCACAGAATCTGCCCCTGCAAAGTTCGAAACATGGCTAGATTTAGGATCAGTGACCCTTGAAAACTGATATGGGACGTTTTGACGCGGTATGCTCGGAAAATAAAATTTACCCCCCTTGTATCACTGGATGTGCCCCAGAAAAATTTAAGACATGGGCAGATTTGGATTAAGCGACCCCAAAAACCCAGAGTACGGAGTTTTAGCGCGGATTGCTCCAAAATTAAAATCTACCCCCCTTATATCTCCGGATCCGCCCCTGAAAAGTTCGAAGTATGATCAGATTTAGAATCAGCGACCCCAAAAACATAGAATACGGATGAATGATGTTTTTCGGACGAGTAATTCGGTTGTAATGACTTTTTCCCGTCAAAAGTGGTCTTTCCGCCCACTGTGCGATGGGGCGAATAAAAATTTTTAGTCGGTCGGTCCCCTTTTTTGAAGATTGAGTGGATTTTGTTGAATTTAGGCCTATTTAATCGTTTTTGAGGATGTTGCCGGTGACGGGGACCCGATTGCGGCCCAGTTTCGGAAATGTCTCGACCAGGCCTACCGATGGGGCGAATAAAAATTTTTAGTCGGTCGGTCCCCTTTTTTGAAGATTGAGTGGATTTTGTTGAATTTAGGCCTATTTAATCGTTTTTGAGGATGTTGCCGGTGACGGGGACCCGATTGCGGCCCAGTTTCGGAAATGTCTCGAGCAGACCTACCGATGGGGCGCATAAAAATTTTCAGTCGGTCGGTCCCCTTTTTTGAAGATTGAGTGGATTTTGTTGAATTTAGGCCTATTTAATCGTTTTTGAAGATGTTGCCGGTGACGGGGACCCGATTGCGGCGCAGTTTCGGAAATGTCTCGACCAGGCCTACCGATGGGGCGAATAAAAATTTTTTAGTCGGTCGGCCCCCTTTTTTGAAGATTGAGTGGATTTTATTGAATTCAGGCCTATTAAATCGTTTTTGAGGATGTTGCCGGTGACGGGGACCCGATTGCGGCACAGTTTCTGAAATGTCTCGACCAGACCTACCGATGGGGCGAATAAAAATTTTCAGTCGGTCGGTCCCCTTTTTTGAAGATTGAGTGGATTTTGTTGAATTTGGGCCTATTTTATCGTTTTTGAGGATGCTGCCGGTGACGGGGACCCGATTGCGGCACAGTTTCGGAAATGTCTCGACCAGACCTACCGATGGGGCGAATAAAAATTTTCAGTCGGTCGGTCCCCTTTTTTGAAGATTGAGTGGGTTTTTTTGAATTTAGGCCTATTTTTATATATTATTATATCGTTTTTAGGATGTTGCCAGTGACGGAGACCGGATTGCGGCACAGATTCGGAAATGTCTCGACCAGGCCTACCGATGGGGCGAATAAAAATTTTTAGTCGGTCGGTCCCCTTTTTTGAAGATTGAGTAGGTTTGCTCGGAAACGGTGAGAAATTTGTTCCCCTTTTTTGTAGATAAAGTAGGTTTTCTCGGAAACGGTGAGGAATTTTCAACTTTTGGGATTTTTCCCAATTTTCCCATTAAATTTGGAATCGAATGGAAAAAACCGCAAGTCTCTACGACCACTCCTTCACCCCAAACATTTCTATGAGTGAGTGAGTGAGTGAGTGAGTGAGTGAGTGAGTCAGTCAGTGAGTCAGTCGGATTGGGGCTTTATAGGTTCTTGAAATACTTGAAATATGAACAATTTTTCTCTTTCCGTTTGGTTTTTGTGGCGTTTTTACAAAAGCACTGTTTTTGGAGTGATGTCCCCCCTTAATAAAGTGGCTATGCCGCCCGCCGCAAACCACTGCACGCCGCGCGGCTCAGGGGGCGCTGCCCGGCCCGGCCGCCGGGCGGAGAACTGCAGCCCACTGCCACCCACTGCCGCACAGTGATGCAAAACGGTAAAAAGTCGCGCAAAAAGCACTTTTCGTTGATTTAGTCCATCCCTAAAGGGACTGACGTTTTTGAGCGCAGAAAAGATCGAACTACATGGTGGCGGAACTCTTTTCTGCCACAAAATGGGTAGGCCTATCTTTTTATGGCGCTGAAATAGAGCAATTTGATGTAAAAACCAAATAGAGCGACATGCGGTGCGAAAACTGTTCGTTGTGGCGGCATTTGCAGAACAAAGTGTAACATGTTGTATGTATTTGGAAAGCTGAGGGTTCAAGAAATCCGCTTCAATTGCTATAATTAACGGCAAAGCTCTCAGTCACCAAATATTCGCCGTAAAATAATAGCCGAATTTGCCATTTTTGTTGATTTTGAAGTGGAATAAGTCGAGTTGCGAACACTTGCGAACCGGTCAGCCACAGCCACATGGTAGAACCTGGGGCCTACTTTAAGGTCTGTATGGTGTCAGGTTGCGAAAAGTTGCGCTTTTCGAAAGAATCGACTCCAAAGTCGCGGCTTTGTCACAAATGACTGGTCAACTTCCATTTCCCGAACTTAACCATAATCGTTTCTCCTTAAGTTCCAGCTTTAGTTCCTACCCTGTGGTGGTTGTACACGTTCAATCTCTTCAGAAAAGAAGTCAGCGACCCTAAACACTTCGTTTCACAAAATTTGGCAGTGATAAAGCACAGCGTAACAGTGTTACCCCCTAAACTACTAAAGCTCCGGCCCTGCTGTGGTAGTCGCACATGTCCATCCTTTCAAAAATAATGTCGGCGACCCTTTAAACATCTTTGCACAAAATTTGGCAGTGATCAAGCGCAGCGTTACAGTGTAACCCCCCTTCAACATTCCTAGATCCGCCCCTGTAGTGGTCGCATACGTTGAATTTCCTCAGGAATGAGGTCAGCGACCCTCAAAACCCCACAGCCTGAAAATTGGCAGTGATCAGGGCACTCTATTATTTTGCGCGACTTTTTTCGGTTTTGCATCACTGTGTGCCGCCTGGCGCGGCGCGCGGGCTGTTTTTTTGGCAACAATAGGAAGCAAAGGGTCTCAGTTCCAACCCGCGCCTCGCGCACAACCGCGCACAACGCGTTTTTTTAAAAGTTTTTTTTTGTTTCGTACCATAGAAAATTCAACATGCCTTTTGTGTGGGGAGGTCCTTGGGAGTGACATAGTCACCGTCACTCGGGGGCTATCAAAATTAGTAGAGTGCAGCCGCAAATGGAGGGATAACGTGGCCAAGCTACTCGCCGGCGTCGAGGCAGTAACTGTTCACAACGCATGCCGCAAGAGATACACCAACGAGAAGATCATTGCTGCTGAACTGAAGCGCGGAGCGTGCCGAAAGCCGAACCTGTGGGCATCTCTGTCGGAGCCTTTCGACTACAAGACCCACTGCGTCGTGTGCGGTTCGCCTTGCCCGCCACTGGAACAACGCCTGAAGCATCCAGATAGAAACCCTGTGAGTACAGTGGCCACTCTCACTGTTCACGATTCAATGCGCTCCGTGGCAGTCAACCGAAAGGACGCATGGGGCCAAGAAGTTACTGACCGAATCAACGCCGTTTTTTACTTGGTGGCTGCCGAGGGGCCCTCTATCATCGACAGTGCTACATTAACTTTCGTGCAAAAAGATGTAGTATTCCTGCACCCACGCCACCGGTGGGCAGCAACCGTACAGGCTCCGGCGGCTCCGGCGCGCCACTCAGTGACAAAACTCCAGGAAGACCGCTCGATGACGGGAAAGAGCAGGGCTTTCGTGCACTTTGTCGGTTCCTGGAAACATCTGACGAATGTCAGTTCACGCCCAAAGAACTGCAGTTAAAAATCAAAGAATTGTGCCCCCTATCTGAAACTTTTACGGACAAATACCTGATTCAGAAATGGAAGGCAAAGTACGAGGCAACTGAGGCAATTTGCGTGACAACTCTTCCGAGCAAACAGACTCTGGTGGCTTCCGCGGTACTGCAGCGAAAATCCTCCATCAAAACTGGTACGAACAGAGGCGCAAGAGCCCGATGGAGGAGAGGATCAGAATCGTCAAGGCAGCGGCAGCAATCATCCGGGAGGACATCAGAGCCCAGCCGTACGACACGTCCAGATATCCAACACCAGGTCAGTGGCAAGGCGAGGCTTCAAGTCCATATCATGAACTCTGTCCTGATTTTGCCGTCCACGTAGACGACCTGCGCGGCTGCGGCGACAACGTCATCCCGCCGACACTGCAGACGCTCGTCGAGGACGTCGTCTGCAAGGGAAGGTCTGGAAACATGCGGCGCGCGAAGGCGGTGTGCAGGACGCTGGAGGAGGCCATCATTGCAGAGACAAGGCCCAGGTCCTTTGTGTCGCCGATGCAGGTAAATTTTTGGCCTTCCCTCGGTCGGAAATACTCTGCGACTGCAGTTTTGCGCGGGGGGTCTAGACACCAAAGGATATTGTTGCCAGGGGGCTGCGGGAATACTCTGTGACAGCAGTTTTGCAGGGCGCCGGAAATACTCTGTGACTGCAGTTTTCCGCGAGGGGTCTAGACACCAAAGGAGATTGTTGGCCCGGGACTGCTAGAATCTATGACGCGCGGAGTAGAGACGCCTTGGGGGTCCAGCGTTCGTGCATTCCACTAGGTTTTAACTTTTGCTAATTAAATGCGAATGTGGCAGGTCGGCCTTGCTGTCTGGCTGCACCGTCGGTACGCGTCCCGTGCCCTCGTTGACGTCCTGCACGCACTGGGACTCTGCGCCAGCTACCAGGAGGCAGTCGACTACGAGACATCAGCGGTACACCACGGAAGGCCTGCCATTGAAGACAGCGCGTTCGTGCAGTACGTGTTTGACAACGCAGACTTCAACATCCGCACCCTGGATGGCCTGGGGACTTTCCATGCCATGGGAGGCGTCCGCTGAATCACGCCCGCCTCTGCTGTCGACACTCCAGCGGCGATTCCAAGGGGAAAGCAGGCTGTTCAGTCAAGTGACATGAAGGCACTCGCTTCAATTCCAGTGTGCTATCCACAGAGCTCAAGCAAACAGGGCCTTGCTAAGCTGCGCATAGAAGAGATCGGAGAATTTCAGAGCGAAAGTCTTCTGTCCGCAAAGTCGGCAGACATGTTGTGGCTTGCCGGGCAGTTCATTGGTTTGGCAGAGACTCCCCCAGGCTGGAGTGGTTTCATGACGATGCTGACGGAAAATCTCCAAAACTACGAAGTTTCCTCTGTGTTGCCTCTTCCCTTCCTTAATCTCCCACCGTCAAAGCCGACAACAATTTATTCTGTCCTGAGATATTCCGCAGAGGATGCAGCGAAAAGAAATCAGCACTGCCTTGTAACTTTTGACCAGCCTTTGTACGTGAAAGCAGTTGACCTCGTGCTAGCCGAAGAACCGAACGGCCCTTTAAAAGCAGTAACTCCGCGGGAAGGTGGATTCCACATGTTTGTGTCTTACATGGGGGCTGTAGGCCACACCATGGCAGGCAGCGGGCTGGAAGAACTGTGGCAGACTGTCTATGGCAAATGTGCTGTCAGTCACATGATTTCAGGGCACGCGTATTCCAGAGCATGGCGTGCCCATTCACTCACTCAGCAAGCCATTGCTACATTGCTCCTTGAGGACGAAACTTTAGGCGAAAGGGCCATGCATACTGATGACATCAAAGAGCTTTGTTCAGTGTACCAGCAAGCTTTAGACAAGCAGCTGAACCCGGAAGACAGTGGTGCCGTCCAGAAGCTGGTGACAACAATGGAGGAGAAATTATCAACGGCAGCGGAACGAGGACGAACTGGAAGGTTGTGGGTTCAATATTTTAAGCAAGTGAGTCTCATGCGTCTGTTTATCAGAGCAGAGCGGGCAGGAGACTGGCATCTGCACCTGTACACCGTGAGTAGGGTGGTCCAAAAAAAATGAAGTTGCTCGGATCGTCCCAACCCCCGCCCCGGGTTTAGATTCTACATCGAAAAATACGAAAAAAGTGTTTTTTTTCCTTTTTTGAAAAAATGATTTTTAGGATCTCCGCAGAGCCCTCAAAGTTTTTAAAAAGTGCTATTAAAAGGAAAAAAACCCTAAAATTAGTCCTTTTTTTACCGATTTTCAAAAACGAAACTGGGATTTGTTCGTTTTTTAATGCTTATTACGAAAAAAAAATGCCCACCCCTTTTTTTGGGTTTTCCTAAATTTCAGGGCAAAAAATGACTAAATTTTGGCCCAAATTGGCAAGAGTTTCAGTTTGTAGGGCCCCTACAAACCGTTCCCAAAACCCCCCTGTCAGCATGGCGGGGGGCCCCTACCACTAGGCAAGCCCCATGAACAGAAATTTCTGTGCCGAGTGCGATTTGCCTACCTCCCAGAGGCATCAAATTGGGGGATTTTTTCCGAAACTTCCAAAAGTGATGTCTCTTGGGCCCCTGGGCACTCAGATGGGCACCCTTTCAACGGTTCGGTACCCGCACTACGTGATAAGAACAAAAAATAGGGAAAGGACTGTTGAGCAAACCCCATGCATAAACCCCTCAGGACAGAAAAACGTGAAAATTTTGAAAATTCCTTTATTTTGATGGCTTTTCTTTTGGCCTTGCGTGGTTTGCGGTCCCTCGCGTCAGCAACGTCCATAACGTTATGTCACGTGTGGGGTACCAAAAATGTAAAAGGGTGCCCATCTGAGTGCCCAGAAGCCCCCAAAAGCCACTATTATAGAATTTCGAAAAAATCCACAATTTGATGCCCCTGGGAGGTAGGCAAATTGCACTCGGCACCCCAATTCTGTTCATGGGGCTTGCCTAGTGGTAGGGGCACTTTGCCATGCTGACAGGGTGGACTTGGAGTGGCTGCAGCGGCCTACAAACTGAAACTCTTGCCAATTCGGGCCGAAATTTAGTCATTTTTTGCCCCTGAAAGTTAGGCAAACCAAAAAGAGGAATAGGCATATTTGTTTTCGTAATAAGCATTCAAAAACGAACAAATCCCCGTTTCTTTTTTGAAAATCGGTCAAAAAATGACCAAGTTACGATTTTTTCCTATGAATGGCACTGTTAAAAACTTTAAGGGCTCTGCGGAGGTCCTAAAAATCATTTTTTCGAAAAAGGAAAAAACACGTATTTTGTATTTTTCGATGTAGAATCCAAATCCGGGCGGCGTTGGACGATCCGAGCAACTTCATTTTTTTTTGGACCACCCTAACCGTGAGGCAGATGTTGCCGTATCTTCATGCAGCTGGACATCTGAACTATGGGAGAACAGTGCCTCTTTACTTGCAGCAAATGTCACAGCTGGAGTCCAGAATGAGCGTGGAGGACTACGACAAGTTCGTTGTGAAGTCATACTTTGCTATCCGAAGAACCAGTAAGTTCTGGTCTGGTCTGTGGACAGATCTGACCATTGAACAGGTCCTCATGCGGAGCATGATAACAGGAAAAGTAGCGATATACATCGGCAACTTTGGCCCGTCCCGTACATTAAGAAACGTACGAATTTCACCAATGGTTGACCCCGACGGAATTAGAACCTGAATCTGGGGTTAAAATTAATGTCATTTTCGTCATCAGCACCCTTAAAAACATCAGAAACAATGCAAAAACTCGAATAAAAAGAATATTCAAAAAATACCCCGCTGGGATTTGAACCCGGGTCCGAACTTCTCCGATTCGCTGGAAACTGGCACCATTGTTTTTTTCTCGTCGCCCCGATTCCAAAAATACCCCTACATGCCCTCCTAGCTGCATCCGTTGCCGAGATCCTCCTCGACCCCATGTAGACCATGATGCACCTGCAGCAGCGCCCCCGGGGCTCGGATCGGATTTGCTGCCACCGGGCGGTTCTTAGGGTCACCCAAGGAGGCTGCATACCAAATTTGGTCAAGATCGGACCACGGGAAGTCCTCGGACGAACGGACGGACGGACGGACGCACAGCAGGGATCATACTATATGCCCGTCCCTCCGTCATTTTTTTACAAAAAATGAACGGGACGGGCCAAAAACCAGCGGTGGACTTACTCAAGGTCGGGGTTTTTCTGAGGCAACAATAGCCAGGTGGATTCATGCTCTGCCTGCCACTCAACAGCTTCATGAAGCCCTGGAAGAAGTGACAGGAGTGCGGATGGCGTCCAGCGAGCAGCATGTGGAACTGAGGGAGTCAAGGAGGAACCGCGATGAGAAAGATCATGAAAAGTTTCTCGAATGGTTCAAGTCTCATTCATTTCTCGAAAAGCCACCCGAGCTTCTTGTTTCCCTTTCTACTGGACTTATAGGTGATTCACGGGTAAACTGCGACCAGGCAGAAGAGTGTGGCGCAAGGGAAGTCCAGAGGATGGTTGGGCAAACCTTTGGCACTGTGAAACTGCGTCGTTCAGCAAAGGTCGTCACCCTTGCAGCGATGGGGCGGATGCTGTCTTCCGATCCAGACGTGGTTGTTTCTCTGAACCCTAACTTACTTTTCCATCGAATGCTCTGTCTCCTAGATCAAAGGAGGAGAGCGACGGACAGCGAGGAAAGCAGCACGCAGGAGTTAGCGGAGTGTCTCTCCCATGAGCTTGCTGTTCGCCCGCCAGCACTCTTTGCCGACCTGTTCATGAGGAAAGGGACAAAGAGCCAACTAATTCCGGTGCTGGAAAAGTACTCGGAGCCCACAATGCTACCTGGTTTGCCGAACTTCACTATCGACGGCGGCTTTCTCTTGAGCAGTTCTCGCGAGATGTGATAATTTCGTGTCCTCTCTCTGGTTCTTCCAACCTTAAGTCGATTTTAACCGGGTCTTTTCCTACCTTTATGTTTTTTGACCTTGCGGACAAGGTTCAACTCTCATCAAGATGAAATTTTGCCTCCTTCCACCGTTAAATTGCAAGTTTTACCTTAGAATGTAATTTCCGTGGACACTTTTTGATGTCCTACGCTCCAGATTTGGGGCTTCCCGCCTCTACTACAGCCCGAAGGAGTATGAGAAATCACTTTCGCTAAGTGCATTTTGTTCTACGCAAGTGAGGCTACGTTTTGACGTGTAGAACGTATCTCTCGGGTAAAATTTGCAGACACAAGATGATTCCGAAAATTGTCTTCCACAACTAAAATTCAAAAAGTCTAAAATCGGTTTTTTTGGGACGGTTTTTCTACCTTATGTGCGACCGTTCTGAAACTTTTCTCATATTGTTGGTGCATTCTTTCTACACAATTTGCAAAGTGGCGGAGTAATGTGGCACCATTAGAACGGAAAATATAAAGTTAAATAAGTTCCAAAGCGGCGAAAAAATTGGCCTAGCAAGCAATAAGTGTAATTTCCGTTCCACCCATTGCTTGCAGACCATTCAAAATTTTGATTGCGAACCAATCCTTGTGTGTTTGCCTTGTGGACAAGTTGTTCCAGTAAAATTTTGGTTCCGGTGGCACTTCTGGTTTGGCTTGTACACCCCATTTTATGCAATAATGTAATTTCCGTGGACTGTAATTTCCGTGGACAAAATGAGGTTTTCGTTGCGTTTCACGTGATTTTGGCCTCGCAAGGGGCCTCAGCTCTAAAGTATGTCGATATTTTTCTGTTTTAAACCTCTTTTATGGAGGGAAGGCCATCCTGGAGGGAAATGGGCATGGGGAATGGGAAGGCAAGCTGAGGAAAGTCGTGGCGTAGTTTAACACAACATCCATCAGGTCAAACCCGCCGCAAGTCACAAAATGGACCCAAACGAGCAGCGAGCCGACTTTTTGCAAGAGTCTAAGCTTTCGACTCCACTCATCAGATTGGTCAAACACTGTATTTTCTGGACAACCAAGCGGTTTTATGCTGCTTTGTTCGGCGCGGCCGGCATACTGCCTTGACAGTTGTGGCTGCGAGTCAGTGAAACCGTTCAACGTTGATTATTCAGATCGGAAAGCTTAACCGAAAGCTTAATGTCTTGCGAAAAATAGTCTCGCTGTATTTTGGGATCTAGCTGACCATTTAAGACTTGCGGTGGACTTAACATGACCGATATGTTAAGCAACATGACGTTTTTCCTAAGCTTTCCGTTCGAATGCTAAGACCCAGTTTATCGAATAAATTGCAGCAATCTGTTCCTCAAACTCAAAAAGAAATCTTTCCGAATAGGTTAGTAAACGTGGGTGCCAGATATGCTTCCAGGAGGGCTAAATAGACCGCACCGCGAGCGGGCCGCTGTCTCGACCCGCCGATCAACTTTTCCTCAACTGATCGCACCCATTACTTAATATTTTCCGAACATAGACACGCAGGAACTGATCAAGAGAAACTTTCCTCCGTTGTCCACTCTAGGGCCCATCATTTGCCAAGTGTGAGAGGTACCGCCTGGGAGGTAAACACTATGCAACCGTGGTCAGAAGAAAATGAATTCACAGTTGTTCCCGAGACAAGGGAATTAAGCCGGGAGAGGTGGACACCGGACCCAGTCCTGCTCAAAGAGGCTGTACTAGGGTGCCCCCCCCCCATGGGGGGGGGGGGCGAAATGTACACCTCGTCACATACTGGTCACACTACGAGTGGGACCTTGTAGCCGCACGAGGTTCTTCTCCGCGAGTATCACGTGGCACCCCAGTAAGGACGGCCGTGTCCCGTTTGGCAGTGCACGCGGGCATGTGTCGGGCCCGAAACGGCATACGATCAAATTGTGGTCTAGCCCGAAATTTTATTGTGAGGTACGCAACATGGAACCAGAATGCACAGATGTGCAGGGAGCTGCCTAAACTGCTAGGCGTTTGCGTTCGTATCGCACCTATTCTAAGGGCCCATTAAAATGTAATTTCCGTGGACAGTTTCTGAGGCTGTGTAATTTCCGTGGACGGCAAAAAAATTAAAATTGCGATATTTCCTATATTATTGGGGTGATAGTTCGCCCCGATGAATCCATGATCCCTAGTGATGTTCTTAACAAGATAAATGCAAAAAACCCGGTTTCAATTGAACTTTTTTTCAAAAAGTTTCAGGGCCCAAATTTAACCATTTCGCGAGAACTGCTCTCTTACACAAGGTTGTTTGGAAGGCGCAAGCAACCTTCAACTCAATCTGTGAAGACTATCTCGGCTACTTACAAAGGCAGTACGGAGATTCCGAGTCAATATGTGTCGTATTCGACGGCTACCTGCAGAACTCTACGAAGGACGAGGAACGACTGCGACGGAGCGTGAAAAACTACTGTCCAGACACTGTAGTTCAGGGCAGTGTCACTTGCACACACAGCCAGCAAAAGTTTCTCAGCAACGAGAAGAACAAGAACAGCTTCATTGCTTTGCTGTCAGCTCAACTTCAGAAACACTCCATCCACGTCGTTCGAGCCGAGAGTGACGCCGACACCACAATCGTGCGCACAGCTGTTCAGCGACCTCGTTCGGTGATTGTTGGAGAAGACACCGACCTACTGGCTCTTTTAATAGCGTTGAGTCCTCCGGATTCTGATGTACTCCTTCTCGTTCCTGGCAAAACAGCGCAGCAGGCGAAAATCTACAGTTCTGTGTGTATACAGACAAAACTGAACGAGGCAGGCCTTTCAGGATTAGTGCTCTTTGCGCACGCTGTGTCGGGTTGCGACACAACTTCTTCAATTTTCAAGAAAGGCAAAGTAACAGTGTGGAAGAAGATAAAAGACTGCAACAGCGCGGACCGGAATGAACTGCGTCGATTCAATGAAGCCAATTTGGACCAACAAGAAGTTCAGCGGATCGGCGAGAAGTTCCTTCTGAAGCTGTATGGAGCGAGGCAAGAGAGAAACCTGAACACGCTGAGACACGTTCTGTACCAAAGAACTGTCGCTCGCCAAGATCCTGGAAAGGTTCAAAAAGGATTCGAGATGGCGTCCTTCCCACCCACGTCCGAAGCGGCACACCAGCATGCACTGCGAGTCTATCTGCAGGTCCAAGACTGGCTGGGAATGAAGTTAAGACCAGAAGAGTGGGGTTGGTCCCAAGACCAACAATCCGGACGGCTGTATCCAGTTCCAACTTTGAAGCCTACAGCGCCTGAATTCCTCTTAAAAATGGCATACTGCAGTTGCAGCTCAGATTGCGGTAACCGATGCCCCTGCAGGCCAAACAAGTGCACCACCATGTGCAACTGTTCGGGGCACGCGTGTGGCAACGCCGTCGCCGAGGAGGACGTTGCAGAACAACTCGAAGCAGATCCAGATGACCCGGAGGTGTACGTAACGCAGAAATCTTAACATTTCCTGCGGGGGGGGAGGGGTTAAGCCCTTTGGAAACAAAAATTGACCCAGAATGTATGTTGGCAGGATGCAGCTGTGACGAGGAGGACAGAGCAGGCAAGGTGATGATGCGGCGGGCAGGGGGCTCCGGCGAGCGGCCGGGCGGCGCGGCGACGGGCGGCGCGGCGTCGGGAGGCGCGGCGACGGGCGGCCAGGCGGCGACCAGCCTCTCACCTTGATGAATAAACTTACAATTGACAAGTTGGTGTTTATTTTGTAGAGAAAAGTACGCGCTACAACGTTTGCTGGAGAACATTTTCGCATTTTCTCACTTTTTCTTGACCAAATTGGCTTTGAACACTTTTATGGCAGAAAGGAAATTCACTTTTTTGAGTTTGAGGCCATTTTTGGCACACTTAGTCAAACTTTAACCCACACAAACCTTATACCGGCAGAAAGGGCGTTTCATTCCGCGTTCAACGGTGTGCCGCGCATCACAATCGGTCGAACGGTTTAGAAACTACGCACGTTCCAAAAATGTACAACATGTTCAACTTCTGTTCAAAACTGTTCGGAACGCCCAAAGTGGATTTGGTGGATTTTTACGCCGTTCGGTTCCAGAGCTCATGCCCTTTCCAACGATACCTCACATGCTTTGTTTGCAATTTTTTCCCGGTGGATATCTAACTTTCCTGTACTAAAAGGAACATATTCCGCACCCATCGCGAGATAGCCGCATCCTGGGCGATCCATGGTTTGGTCCCTGTAAGGCCAAAAATGCCATTTTTCACTATTAGACCCAAGTTTGGTGCCTCCAAAGAGATGGAAGGTGACGTCACCAGACCCCAGCATTGCGGGATCTCTTTTCTAATATGGTCAACTGCAAATAAAACCATACGCCGCTTAATTCTGGGATTTTCGACCCACCCTAACCTGCACAAATATAACAATACTTACGTGCCAAAAGTCTATCCATAACGCCCATTGGAAGGTAGACCGTAGATCGATTGAACGACACTAATTAGAAAGAGTTGTCGGGTCCAAATACATGGGACATGAAATTAAAAAAAAATGACGTTTTAAATCGGAAGTCAGATTTCAAATGTTGTGGCATGTGACAATGTGTTACGTTATTCCAATGAATGTGACACTAACGTGGGTTTAGTATAACATGAACAGATGACCAAAATTCCTACAAAATTAAAACTTTCCTGAAGTCACGACACTCGCACAAAATTTTAGTCCTCGTTCTGCCTCTTACATACTCAGCACACGCATACACCCATTTGGCTTCGTCATTTCGGCAGCACTATATCGTTTGAACGTCTGAGGCCTCCATAGTCAGAAATATTCCACTGCGCAGTGTTTGTCCGGCCCGGCTGGCCTTGACGCCCACTCAAGCTGAGCCAGCGTCACCGGCCCCCTTCCTCCTATTTGTTTCAATCTCGACACGGCACGGCTGCGTCTGAATAACTCTCTCACTCTCTCTCTCACACACTCTCTCCCTCTCTCTCTCTCTCTCTCTCTCTCTCTCTCTCTCTGTGTGTCTCTCTGTCTCTCTCTCTCTGTGTCTCACTCTCTCTGTGTGTCCCTCTCTTTCTCTCTGTCTGTCTCTCTCTCTCTCTCTGTCTCTCTTTGTCTAACTCTGTGGTCAGGGACAATACGCGACGCAGAGACAATGGTGAAACGAAGGCCACGAATGAGAGTGGATCCACTTGAAACATGGCCTCACCGTGAGAAAAGCAGCCGGCACGTTGGGAGTGCCTGCCTTCGGCCCGACAGTACACTATAAGTGTCTTCCGAAGAAATGTCCCATATTTCGAAGGAGACGGCCAAAAGCGAACGCGGTTTATCTTCGCATTACAAAGGTTTGTCTCCGTATCCTGCAACGAAAGTACTTAACAGGTTTCGTGCTGAGGTCCTGTTTTCTATCATGCTTGCGCTTGCGTCAAATTACTTTTGACACGGCGCAAATTTCATTGCGAACCCTTTCCTTCTATCTCGTTGGCGTCTGCGTTCTCGGACGCGGACCCGAGAAGTGACAACACAGCGGCTGCGCTAGGCGGGACCCGGTCGGTCAGTGTGTCGGGAGGCCGCAGAGGGCAGTCACGCTCCAGCCGCCTCGCTATCGTATCGGCGTCGCACGAGCACGGTAAAAACGGTAACTTCTGATTCGTGCTGGGGGGCCTCTGGCCACCAGACCCCTCTTCATGCTAGTTGGAGTTGCTTCATCTACAAATTACACGGTCTTGACCCTTGTAACTTTTCAACTTGTCGAGGGTGGGGGGGGGGAGGGGCTCCAGACCCCCTTTTCATCAAGACAGGAGAGATCTACCTGCAGAAATCTCGATTTTTCGCCGTTTTTAGGTGTTTTTCGGCTTTGATAACTGAAGCAGTTGAGCTAGGATAGTGAAATTTCGCGTGAGCCGAGCCGTTAAGGGAAGTTGCCAAAATTGTGGCTCCTTTTGGCTCCTAAAAAAATGAAAAAAATATCTCGTTCTAAATTTTTTTTAGTATTTTTCCTGTATTCTAGGGGTCATTCTAAACGCATTTCCGAAGGAGGCCAGGATTTTCTCGCACTTCGATTTTTCCCCTATACTTTACATGGGCGAATGGCACGGAAGTTACCGAAAATGTGCATGGCACGGAAGTTACATCATCAAACAAACCGCGAAAACGGACCAACCCGTTCACCAAATCGAACAGGTGTCTCGCCTAAAGTTTAAAAGACGTGAAAGCGCAAAATGGCCAGGTGGACTGAAGTCGGTAGGTCGAGTAGCAAGCTCGCTATTGATGACACGGAATGTTACACACAAACCTGACACATGCCGGATTTTTACCTTCGATGGTCTAGCCAGCCGGAATGGAGCCCTCCAGCGAAAATCCACCTACCGCGCTGGAAAGAGGAAACCGTGCTGCTGATTCTGGACGCTGAGCCGAACTTTTCCCGCTACAGGTTCGGCGCTGAGGCGCGAAACTAAAGCTGACGATGTTTGAAAACCAGTACACGGTGGACATTTTTTCATCCAATAAAGCAGGAGGTGAGAGTCACAGGAAGAAATTGCTATCCAAGGGTGTCATAAAGGGTTGCCAACGGAACAAAAGGCTGTTCGCGGATTTGCTCTCCGACAAATAGTTCAGGAGATGTTCGCCTTGGAACACGGACTTTTTGGACAATGGACAGCACGGAAGTTACATTTTGCCCAGTTTTAGCCTGTTTCGACAGGAAAATGCTTGGACTGCATGCTCGGTTAGTGTGTGGGATAGCAGGGGAGATGAAGCCCAGTCATAGGAATCAAACCGCAGGTCAATACGTCGAAAAATAAGGAAACTGTGGCCCAAAGACACAAAAGGACCCACAATTTTGGCAACTTCCCTTAAGGAGGAGAAGTGCACACACGCACACACGAACGCACACACGCGGACAGACAAAACTTGTCAACCCCACTGGAGAAAGGGGTTCGCTATCGCTCAGCCAATAACAGTGTTTTTTCATAGTGGCTTCACGATTAGGTCCCCGGCACTTACGTTGGGGGGAAGAGATCTTCTTCAAAATTAGCAATGGTGTTCAGCCTGTCCCGCACCTGCCCTGAGAAGACGGCCAGGAACTGGATGAGGCAGGGGTTGCTGCAAGGCGTTTGCTCCCCGCACCCATCCAGTTGGTCGGCGGCCAAGCTGACAACGTCCAGATTGAGGCCCCTTGAGTTAAACGCAGCTTGCTTCTTTCTTCTCGACTTCCAGCGCCCGGTCTGTTGGCTGGTGAAAAAGCATTTACAAGGTAGGTTTAGGCCACCACGACTTGTCGTAACAGGCTTCGCGATGTCTCTCTGCCCGTTCCTCCAATCCGCGCCTGGCGTACCTACCTTGGCCTGCGGCGCTAGCCCGCCTTCGGCAGGCTCTCGCTTGTCCATCGTCGGTTCCTTCTAACTTGTTTCATTCTGGGGGGCTCCGCCCCTCAGCCCCCTTTCATTCTAGAAAGAGTTGCTTCACCTACAAGTTACACGATCTTGACCCTTGTAACTTTTTAACTTGCCGAGGCTGCGGGGCTCCGCCCCCCAGACCCCCCTTCCATCAAGGCAGGAGAGATCTGCCTGCAAAAAAACTCGATTTTTCGCCGTTGTTAGGTGTTTTTCGGCTACATAAAGAGTGACTCGCGCTGCTCGCTGGGGGCTCCGCCCCCAGACCCCCGCATGTGTGGGGCGCGTGCTGAAGTATTTTCAGTAAGTCCGTGGTGACCAAAGGCAAATTTTCTAAGGAAGTAAATGTACTGCTTCTTTGAAAGGTCCATTTAACAGCTTTTGACCGTATAATTAAGCTACTTATACTGCCCAAATAGATAGCTTGTAGAGCATTGGCTACTGTGGCAGTCAATGGGTGCATACACGGTCCGGAAAATATTGAAGACTGCTTTGACAAGGATAGAGGTGAATGGAAAAAACCGCAAGTCTCTACGACCAATCCTTGACCCCAAACATTTCTATGAGTGAGTGAGTCAGTGAGTCAGTCAGTGAGTTAGTCAGTCAGATTGAAGCTATATTCTTGATAAAATTAGGCCTAAATTTAGGCCTATTTAATCGTTTTGAGGATGTTGCCGGTGACGGGGACCCGATTGCGGCACAGTTTCAAAAATGTCTCAAACAGACCTTCCGATAGGGCGAATAAAAATTTTTAGTCGGTCGGTCCCCTTTTTTGAAGATTGAGTGTATTTTGTTAAATTTATGCCTATTTTATCGTTTTGAGAATGTTGCCGGTGACGGGGACCCGATTGCGGCACAGTTTCGGAAATGTCTCGACCAGACCTACCGATGGGGCGATTAAAAATTTTTAGTCGGTCGGTCCCCTTTTTTGAAGATTGAGTGGATTTTGTTGAATTTAGGCCTATTTTAATATCATTTTTAGGATAATGCCGGTGACGGGGAGCAGATTGCGGCACAGTTTCGGAAATGTCTCGACCAGACCTACCGATAGGGCGAATAAAAATTTTCAGTCGGTCGGTCCCCTTTTTTGAAGATTGAGTGGATTTTGTTGAATTTGGGCCTATTTAATCGGTTTGAGGATGTTGCCGGTGACGGGGACCCGATTGCGGCACAGTTTCGGAAATGTCTCGACCAGACCTATCGATAGGGCGAATAAAAATTTTCAG